AGTCACCTAGAAAAATCCCTTACCTCCCTATCTGAGGTAGTGCTTCAGAACAGACGGGGCCTAGACTTATTGTTCCTCAGCAGGGGGAATATGTGCGCCTTAGGGAGGAATGTTGTTTTTATGCTGACCATTCAGGGGTAGTTAGGGAGTTATGTCTAAAGTGAGGGAAGGACTGGCAAAAAGGAAACGGGAAAGGGAAGCCAAGAAAATTGGTTCAAGCTTGGTTCAATGGGTCCCTGTTCACTACCTTGGTCTCTACCCTGGTGGGCCTCTGGTCATACTACTGCTTATCTTAACCTTTGGTCCTTGTATTCTGAATAAGCTAGTGACCTTCGTGAAAGATCGAATTAGTACAGTCCAACTAATGGTCCTGAGGCAGCAATATGAAATTACCTAGCCCTGAGATGTGTCGCCCAGATGAGCATGATTCCTCATTATGAACAACTAAGGGGGAATGTTAGGGTACAAATGTTAGGCACTTTGAGGCTTGCAGCCCACTCAGCCTGAAACCAGCCATGGCTAACATGACCCAAGCACCACTTACTGGAACTAAGGGAGGTGGGATGGTTTCTGGGAGCAGGGACTGTTTCTGGTTAATCTTGCTATAATGGTAATATGATCAATGAGTTAAGACAACCTGGTGTTTACCAAATTCCTGATAAATAATCTTCAAGTAATCTTGCCCACCGGAGTGGGTGATATCAGAAATATGTGACCCAGGGACCATAAAAATTGCTGTGTGACCGTGACTAACATCTAAAAAATATAAAAGCAGCCTGACTTTGTATTCGGGTCCTCGTTGAAACCGCTGCATCGGGCGGATACCCAGACCCCAGCTGGCTGGAAATAAACCTCACTTTGTGGCTTACGTTATCGTGAGTGTCTTTTGTTCCTCTGAGGGGTGGTCAACTTCGGACCCCAACAGTGGAGGCCTTATGTCCAACTCCAGCTCCAAGGATATTCTTTTTATATGTACCCCATCCCAAACCCACAGGGAATCTGGTATCTGTCCAGAGTGGATGGATGTGGGGTGAAACACTGAGTGTAAAGATACTCTTCTCCCATTTATTATAATCCTAAAGGCTGGACCAGACCCAGGGCCCTGGAAAGACTCTAATGTCTACCATCCAGATCAACAGTCTTTTAACAGACTACAGTCAAAATTACAGCTATTTCAGACACACCCCTCTCCTACTTGTAAAGATAAACAATGTAACACTTAGATTAGTTGCAGCAGATGTCTCAGGGACAGACCTGTTAGGGGACTTTAAGCTCCATCTAGCTCCCAACCCCTCCTAGGTGACACCCAGTTCTACCTCCACTCCAACATTACCTCCACATTTATACAACAATCGAACTCAGGTAACTGTAATAGAAGTCAAGGACCTAAGACAAACTGTGCCTATTGAAATTGGGTACAGGGATACAAATGCTTGGATGGAATGGATAAAATGCTGTCTGCACATTAAATAAGAGCGATTGCTATGTCTGTACTACTGGGAGACCAGAGTCAGGTGGTCCCATTTTCATCGGGATGGTCCTCAGATCCAGATGGAATGTATTGCATGTTGGCTCTGTTTCAGGATGCCAAAGCTTGGGGCAATGAATCCTGCCAGACACTATCACTACTCTTCCCAGAGGTCAGAGGTCCTATGGGTCAGCCCCCAAGGACTATTAGGACACTCACCCTAGATGTTAATTATACCCCATGTCTCACCAACACGGGGGATGATTGACAAATGTGGGAAACCTGACGGGATGCAGTGAAATCCGGTCCTTCAACAGCTTCACAAACCAGTCCACACTCTCAATGGGCAGAGCTGATGTCTGGTGGTACTGCAGAGGACCTTTACTTGAGACTCTCCCAGGTAACTGGAGAGGCACCTGTGCTTTGGAGCAGTTGGCATTTCCTTTCACCCCAGCATTTAGATCACCAGCCTGTGCCACAACATCTAGAAAAAGGAGAGACATAGACACAGACACTGTAGCCAACCACAGAGGCTCCCTTGATCCCCATGCTTACACTGATGCCGTTGGGGTTCCTAGAGGGTGACAAATGAATTAAAAGCCAGAAATCAAATTGAAGCAGGATTTGAATCAGTACTCTTCTGGTGGTCCACTATAAATAAAAATGTCAGTTGGATTAATTATATTATAACCAACAAAGGTTTGTTAACTATACCAGGGACACCATCAAAGGAATAGCAGAGCAATTGGGACCAACTAGTCAGATGGCTTGGGAGAACAGGCGAGCATTAGACATGATTTTGCCTAAAAAGGGAGGGGTTTGCACAATGATTGGAGTTTCATGTTGCATGTGTATAACAAATAATACAGCCCCTGATGGAACTATTACTAAAGCCCTATAGGGATTAACTACCCCTTCTGACGAGCTAGCTGAAATCTTGGGTATAAATGCTCCCTTCACTGACTTAATGGAAACTTGATCATAGTGGCTGGAGTTTTAATTTTAGTAGGATGCTGCATAATTCCTTGTGTCCGAGGATTAATATAGCGGTTAATTGAGACAGCACTCACCAAACAATCACCGCCCTACCAAAATAACTTGTTTCTATTAGAAACGCAGGAACTTGAGAGCCAACAGCTCCTAAATGAGTTTCAAGAAAAGAATTTAAATTAAAAGAGGGAGAAATTGTAAGAAAAATGATCTTTTTCTATCAAAGTATTTGTTACCCTCTTAGATTACTTAAAAATTCCTCAGGTCACCATCTTAGGTGACTTGCATGTTTAAAGGGTCCTTGCTTCTTCTTCCAGATTCCTGTACAACTCCATGGCCCGCCAAACCACATGCCCTAACCCATCCCCCAAGCCTTTCAGCCAGTCAGGAAGGACTGTGAACCTTTGACCTGGACAAATTCCAGGTGAGGGGCAGGTACGACTGCGTCAGGGATATTAGGAGGGGCCACTTCAGCCATTTTGTGCTTGCATGTTTGCTCAGCTGAAATGAGCACATTCTTGCACTCTCTTGATCAAAAGAAAATTGCCTTGTCAAGATTTTCAGTCCCTTGTGTGTCTGTTTTCAGCACCAGAGGGTTATCAATTCCAACAACACTGAGGCAACAAAGGACCCATGAATTGCAATACACACTTAATTTAAAGGCCCACTTACTAAAATGGGCACAATCATTCACAAAATTAAAATTAGCTTCCTTTATTTTTGGCCAAGCACATATAGTTTAGTTTGACTAAGCTAAACAAAAGTAGGCTTGTGTGTTTAGGCATCTAAAACCATTATCTGATCTGGGGAATAACTGAAGGCTGTGCAGAATGAAGAACATAGCAAACAACATAGAGTATAAGGAACCAGCTGTTCATCAACCCTCAGCACCAAAAAAAATAAATAAAAGGCGCCCCAAAGGAACCAATAGACAGGATTATAGATTATAGCAATTTTAAACCAATACACTTACAGATATTATCATCATTATTATTGCTCATCTGTAACATTTGCTGAAGACTTAACTACTTGCCAGGCACTGTGCTCTACAGATAAAATTTTCCAACATCATATTTAATCAGCTCACAATAAACCTACAAAGTAAGCACCAAAATTAGTTTTATTTTATAGATTAAACTGAGGCTGATTAACTGCCAAGACCAGAATAGAGGCCAGCCTGGGCAAAAAGCAAGATCCCCCATCTCAACAGATAAGGTGGGCATGGTGGATCAGAACTGTGATGCCAGCTACTCAGGAAGCACAGGTAAGGAGGGTCATGGCCTGAGGTGGGCCCCGGGCAAAACATGAGCCTATCTAAAAAATAACTAAAGCAAAAAAGGGCTAGAGGCATGGCCTGAAAGGTAGAGTGCCTGCGCATCAAGTGCAAGGCCGAATTCAAACCCCAGTTAACAAAATAAAATAAAATGCTTAAATTTAGATGAAATTATTATAAACTACTGATATTAGTCCTGAAAAGATTGGTTAACTGAATATATTAAATCTTTTAAAAGTCTTATAAAGCCAAGCACCAGTGGCTCATGCTTGTAATCCTAGCTACTTGAGAGGTTGAGATTGAGAAGAGTAAGGTTGAAGGCCAGCCCAAGCAAATAGTTCACAAAATCCCATCTCCAAAATAACCAAAACATAATGGAAGCATGGCTCAAGTACCTGCTCTGCAAGTGTGAAGCCCTGAGTTCAAACCCCAGTCCCACCAAAAAATAAATAAATGTCTTATAAAATAAAGATCCTGCCAGACACTGGTGGCTCACACCTGTAATCCTAGCTACTCAGGAAGTGGAGATCAGGAGCATCAGGTTTGAGGCCAGCCCTGGCAAAAAGTTTTTGAGACCCCATCTCAAAAATACCCAAAGGGCTGGCAGGTGGCTCAAGTGATAGAATGCCTGCCTAGCAAGCATGAGGCCCTGAGTTCAAATCCTAGTACCTTCGAAATATATATATATATATATCCTATTTGTTCTTTATACAGAATAGTGATCATAGTTAAGTCAAAATATTTTCGTTTCTTCTTTTAAATCCTCATGAGAATTTTTCCTTAAAAAACAGAACTAGACTGGAGGTGTGACTTCATGCTTTGCAAGTGCAAAGTCTTGAGTTCAAACCCTAGTCCCACCCCCCGCCCAAAAAAAAGAACTAGCTGTCTAATGTGCTGTTTTTTTATTTTTAAATAATATCAGTAACTCCTTAAAAGGGCATATTATAAAAAGTTACGAGATACTCCTTTAGCCTTTATAAACAGTTATAAAAGTACACCTTATAAAAGGAGTCTACTGATACTTTTCTGTTAAAGACTAAAAACTTCTGGGAAGTAGCAATAATTTGTTCAAAAAAGAAAATAACAAAGTGCAACACAAACCATTTCTCTTAGAGGTCCAAAGATGAAACAATCAAATTTATTAGGTCCAGGAATCAAAGATGACTTGGTATAAATGTGACTACACACAGAATTTGATAGAAATGAAATCTAACTTAAGGTCTAGTTTAAGGTTCTGGTAGTAGTGTCCATAAAAAGAATACTAAATCCCCAGTTTGCATGAGTTTAATGAACCAGATAGACAATTGTATCTCCAATATCTGCCTGTAGCCCATTCTCAGTGAGATAAATTTTCTTGCTGTTGAGGTCCACATGGAAAACTGCATTCTGAGAAATGCAGGTCTTCTCAGTGTGCTCTTCTCCCAGAACAGGAATGCGCCGAGGCCCCAACAGTGGATCATCAAATCTCATCAGTTTCACTTTCGAAAGGTCTAGAGCAAAGAGATTATCAATATGAGCATTTAATTACAATCACTGACTCAAATCCATAAACAAGTCTGATAGTTCACATTTTAAACAAACTGGCTGTTATCTCTAAACAAAAATATTTTCATCCAATTATTAAATAAGACCCAGTCTCAGAAGCAAAGCTAAAATCTAATTCATCTTCTTCCCCTTTCAGCTTTTTACCCAGATCAAAGATTGTCAGAGATTCTATATAACACATCTCCTGGAATGATAAACCAAGGGAAGGAAGAATTAAGTGTATTTTTGAGTATTAACTCCTAAATTATTTTTTATATGCTTCAATTAACCGTTCTTCAGAATATCAAAAAAAAAAATCTAAAACGTGTTTCTTCCTTTTGCTTCCTGAATGCACTTAACTTCCAAGAGTAGATTTTCTTGGAAGATATTTTTGGAGAAATAATTACTATGAGAAACACCATTACCTATTTCTTGTTTTGCTCAAAGATGAAAGTATTTGTATTAACAAACTGATGAGAGATAAGGACAGAAGGGGGACAAGAAAGGAAAAAGGCACTGCTTTTAGAATTTTGAGCTTTAAATAAGCTCTCATCCTACCCTGCTAGAGATTTTCTCGATCTACTCTTGTGAAAGCTGATGACATGGCACCTTCCCCCCACTGTCCAAAAAAACCACTTGATCCATGAACAAATTTATGATTCAATAATCCTGCCAAAAAGAAACTCATTTAAGCAATTCTGAGACTCCTCAACATGAAATGTCTTTATTTTATATAGTGGGAAAATACTAGGCTACAAATGCTGATTTGGGGTTTATATCTCATTCTAAACATGGCATGGCTAGTTATGCTTAACCTGATCCAAAGAAATGGAAGGTATATTCTAAATTACTTCCAATCCTTTCTAAAACAGATAGCTGGGTGGTCTGTGAGCTATACTCCCTCATGGTGCCTTGAGAGCACAAAGCTTAGCATGAGAGGGATAAGAGATAAAAAGAGACATTAATGCAGCTGGCAGCGATACCAGGAGTACAAGTTATCCAGGCATTCTGTTCTCTTTGAGAAACAAAAACTGAAGGGCTGCAAGTTTAGAGATGAGATCTTGGGGCTTATATGGCAATTACATGAAGCTACCATGAAAGCAAACCCTGCCTGAAAGCATTTGGAGAGTTTTTGCAAAGGCCATACAGTACATTCCCAGCTATAGCACGAGCCCCGAAAATTAAAATAGCAAAGGAGCAGACACAGTCTTCATGATAGCCGTGATCTTTATTTTGGAGAAGAATACAATTCATTTTAACATCTATTGCAATTCAACTTGTACATCAGTGGTACCAAATATTATTTTGCTATAGAAGTGACAAGTCCTGCCAGCAGATTTTATATATAAGGCCTTTTGCCACAGACTGCTCACTTGCTTTCTCTCTCTCTTTCTCTTTCTTTCTCTCTAGCAATCCTCCCTCATCACTTCAAGCAATTCTGATTCACACTATTTCAAAGAAACCTTAATACAGTCAGACTTCTAAGTGACAAAATACATTTGCTTTGATGTTTCACCATGTAGAAGTTCATTACTGCCAATAAATTCTTGGAGCTTTCTTAGTGTTTTTACTATCTCTTCTTATCCCAGACCTCTCTGATCATTGAAAATGTTGAAATTTAAGCCTGTGACTACACAAGATTTAAGGCCCTTAGAGAAAAGATGAGAGTGACTGAAAGCCCCTAGGGACTGATAATGTGAAATGGAGCTTTTCACCTCCAAGTTATTAGTACACACGTGGCGTGGGTTGTGAGTGATTTAAAGTCATTATCAAATAGTTGCTCAGTGGCCTTTGCAGAATGAAATGGTGGTTTTAGTCTGTTCCTCCTGGACCTAGATCATAATCACCCTCAATACAACTGGCATTAATTGGATGACTTGCTGGTTATTCCAGCAGACAAGACTAAGAACTATGTTACTGAATTTAACTCCTTCTATCTCATATACTCAATGTACTCAGCCCCCTAAGATACTGAAGAATCCTAAGGATTTGGAAACGTATCAAGGTTAGATCTCTTCTGTAGATTCTTACAGGAATAATAATTTCAACCTCCCCCTAATGTTCCCATCTACTTTCTAAAATTTACAATCTGTAACACCAAACTTAAAACACTGTATAATATTATTCATAGCTGTGTGACAAAGGAGGTAAGAATTGTGCTAGAGGCTCCAGGAAAAAAAGACAAGACATAGAAAACACGTGTTAGGGCAATTCTGAAGAACTGAGTCAGTGCTGTATCTGAGCACATTTAATAGAAGGGTAGATTTAACATTATGTAATTTTCAATATAGCAATATAACCTCTCATGTGCTACTTCATAATCCTATCCAGTGGGTCCACACAAATACTTATTTTAAAAGCCACTATAGGGGCTGGTGAAGTGGTTGAAGTGGTATAGTGCCTGCCTAGCAAGTGTGAGGCCCTGAGTTAAAATCTTAGTGCAACCAAAAAAAAAAGTTCAATTTAGCCTGTTTTTCAGGCTAAAAAGTTTTCCTATTACAAATGTTCTCATGACAGAATGTAAACAATATGAATATGACAACCCACAAAATGGCTTCCTATATACTTACATTTCCTAATTTTCAAGTTCTGCTTCTTTAGCCTATAAATTGTAAAGATGGATCTATCCATTCTATAGTCTCTGGTTTTCCAAAGGAACATAATAAATGCCTGTAACAACCTGGATGAATCTTGAAGATATTCTGCTAAGTGAAATAAGCACAAAAGGACAAAATATTGCTGATACAGGATCATGTACCTATAATCCCAGCTACTCAAGAGGCTCCCCTGAGTTCAAAAACTCAAGGACTGCTGGGTGCTGGTGGCTGCTGCCTATAATCTTAGCTACTCAAGAGGCAGAGATTATGAGGATCACAGTTCAAAGCCAGCCTGGGCAAATAGTTCTTGAGACCCTATCTCGAAAATACCCAACACAAAAAAGGGTTGGCAGAGTGGCTCAAGTATAGACCTTGCACTTGCTAGGCAGATACTCATGCCCCGCAACCCCAAAAAAAAAAAAAAAAAGAAGAAGAAGAAGAGGAGGAAGAGAAAAGCTTATAAATAAAATGTATTTAATCTAAAACAGTATAAACGTTTTATGTTTCTACTTATATGATATCTAGAATAGTTAAATACATACAGGCAGAAAGCTGAATGGTGGTTATCAGGGACTTGTGGGAAGGCAGAATCTGGGGTTATGGTTTCATGGCCACAGGGTTTCAATATGGGAATATTAGGTTCTGGAGATAGATGGTAGTGATGATAGTACAACAGTGTGAATGCCACCAAACTGTACAGTTTAAAATGACTAAAATGGACCTGGAGGTATGGCTCAAGTGGTAATACACCTGCTTTGCAAGCATGAAGCCCTGAGTTCAAATCCAAGTACCACTAAAAAAAAAACAGCCAAATGACTAAAGTGAGTAGGCATGGTGGTCCTCACCTATAATCACAGCACTCAGGAGACTGAGACAAGAGAATTATGTGTTTGATGCTAGCTGGGGCTATAGATAGAGACCTCATCTTTTCAAAAAAAAAAAAAGGACCAAAATGGCAAGTTTTCTGTTATGTGTATTTTATCTTAATTTTAAAGCATGCTTATAAACACTAAAATTGCTAGCCTAGTATACTGCTGGTGATGATGTTTGATACACAGTGAAAGCCTCAACTGGCACTTTTCCCTTCACGTTCATAAGGATCATATGCTCCACAAATGCATATCCCTAAATCATCACAACTGCAGCTCTTGCCTTCCTCTGTGCTACACCTTCCCCTGCACCTTTCTCACTGTGCTCAGTGGTCTTCCTGAGAATGTAGCTAAGTGCTTCAACAGCTTAGTCCCCCACCCCTCACTAGATGCAGTTCCTCATCAACAGAACCCCAATATGGTAGTCTATGAGCTGATGTCCACTGAAGGGAAACAAACAACAGTCTAAAGTGAATTCAAGTCTTCTACTTTAATGGGATATTCTACTAGTATAAAGTTTCTATCTTACTGATAGAAAGTGAACCAATCCACATTTTCTTTTTTTGTTTTGAGACATGATCTCAGTATGCAGCCCAGGTTGGCCTCAAACTTAAAATCCTCCTGCCTCACCCTCCCAAATGCTAGAATTACAGGTATTTACCACCACACCTGACCCAATCTACTTTTGATTGTTAACAAAAGAAAAGAGAAAACCAAGCACCAGTGGCTCGCACCTGTAATCCTAACTCCCTCAAAGGCTGAGATTGGGAGGATTACAGATCCAGGACAGGCTGGGAAAAAGTCTGCAAGACCCCATCTCAACCAATATCTGGGCATAATGGTGTATACCCATCATCCCAGCTACACAGAAGGCTGAGACTGGGAGGATCGCAGTTCCAGGACATCCCAGTCACAGAAGTTTGTGAACCCCAAAATAAAAGCTGGGCACAGTGGCATGCGTTTGTCATTCTAGCAACAGTGGGAAGTTATAAAACAGGAGGATCATGGTCCAGGATGACCTGGGCAAAAAGCAAGACCTTATCTCCAAAATAAGCAGAGGAAAAAAACCAGCAGCTTAATGGGCTGGAGGTGTGGCTCAAGCCGTAGAGTTCTGCCTACCAAGGGCAATGCCCTGGGTTCAAACTCCAGTACAGTCAAACAAAAGACAGAGAGAAAGGGAGAGAAAGGCTGTGGTGGTAAAGCACTTGGCTAACATTGCAAAGCCCTGGATTTTGATCCTCCACACGGCAAAGAAATGAATAAATAATAAGTAAAATAAAAAGAGAAGAGGAAGATCATGCAAGATAGAGAATCTCAACATGAATTTTGTCTTCATAATTCAGAAGAAAAATAATATAGACACACTAACTACCGTCACTGCTCATCCTAGGAACTGAGTGATTAAAGAAAAAGAAGTCATAAATTATTACACTGAATCTAATCACAGAAGATGGAGACTTAATCCTGATTAGGAACTAAGAGTATTTTACCCAGAAGCACATAGTTTAGAAGAAAGAATATGAGCTTTGGAGTCAAATAGACCTCACTTTGAATTCTAGCTACAAGATTTATCAGCTGTTGCTGGTGCACCAGTGGCTCACACCTGTAAACCAAACTACTCAGGAGGCAGACATCAGGAAGATCACGGTTCAAGGCCAGCCCAGGCAAAGAGTTCATGAGACCTTATCTCAACAATATCCAACACTAGCAGAGTAGCTCAAGTGGTAGAGTGACTGTCTACCAAGCATGATGCCCTGAGTTCAAACCCCAGTACCACCAAAAAATAAATAAAAATAAAAAGATTTTCTAACTGAACAAACTCTGCAAGTTACTTAGCCTTCTGAGCCTCATTTCATTATCTGTACAAGGAAAACAGTAATACATTTTAGTTGTAAGATCACCCTTTTATAGAAGATTGTTACATTACAAGCATTAAATAGCTAATATACGGCAGACACTCAAAACCTTTAATTGTTCTCCTTCCCCGGGAACAGACCCAGCTGGACGAGTTAGTTTAGAGTATTTAGGGTATGGATTCCCTAACTCTCAATTATCTCTGACGGACAGAAATCACTTGTTACAATTTTAGAGTTAGAGAGCCTTGAAAAATATCTAATCCAGTGTCTTCATCTACTAAAAAAGCACTCAGTTTAGAGCTTAAGTGACATGGACATGGCAAAGCCACCAAGCTACCTAGCTAGTGTCCCAAAAAGAATCTGATTTTGAGTCCAATACTCAAAGCACTACAGAGCGAGCTATCCCTAAACAAGTTAGTTCCTTTCCTTTCTCTCCTCTTAGAACTCACCAAACCCACAAGCTATTGGCAGATGTGAGTTTCAAGGAAACCATTTACCTTTGATTCCTCGGTCCATTTTCATTAAACGCCTGATTATGGAGTCACAGTTATCTCCTTGCCTGATTTCAATCTTGATTGAAAAGTGGCCATTAGATGGCTGGGGATTTACTAGTGAAATTGGCACACCAGGCTAGAAAAATAAAGAATAAATGATTTTAATAGAAATCAAACTTGAATATTCCCAAGGGAGAGGGGAGCTCTGCTACATTTTCAGTACCCAGTGAAAGACATCTAATTTTGGTATTCTAAAATGATGATCAAGATATATTCCAATATGAAAGAAAAGCTGTGCTTATAACAAGATGCCTGGCTAGAAATGACTACATCAATATTGATAATGGACAATGACAATAATTATATTTTTTCTTCCACAGCTACCATCATTTGTTGAATTTCTACTATAGATCAAGCACTGTATGAGGCACTCGTAAACATTAGTTCTTTATCCTAGAAAGTAGTTGTTCTGAACCCCTATTCACAAATGAGGTGAAAAACAGAAAACTTAAGAAATTAGCACAGGTAGTAAGTAGTGGGACAGGATTAAACCCAGGTCTATGCCATACTACCTACTACATTATAGAAACCATATTGGAAAGGACTGTTCATTACTTTAAATGGAAAAAAAGACAACTGAGTCTTGTGAAAGACTCACGTACATAGTAGCTTAATGAAATACTTCAAAGTGGCCTGAAATGGGTTTGTATACTGAACAGTATTTCATATCTCTACCTCCACGGCCCAGATGAGTACACTTTTGAAAGCAACCACACCTTACCGTAATGAAATATCATTACACAATGATAAAATCAGCAAGTCTCCATGGTTGTGATTATCTTATTCTTTCAAAACAGGTCTTTTCTGTTTGCTCAGTTTTCAACTAAATGTGGTAAAAGTAACAACATATTGAGTCCTCTGCTTATCAAGGTAAGTAGGGCATTATATGGACTCACAATGTAGTTCACTGGACTGCCAAATCTGAATGGATTCTTTAAGGCTAAACAGAACCTCTAAAACTTTATCTTCACTAATAATGGCCAAAAAAGTAAAGGAAAAAAAAAAAAGCAAGCAAGAAAGCAACTTCAGCATAATTTAGGATGAAAAGTCAATCCAGTTTATACTAAAACCCAGAAAGCTTTGAGTAACAATCCAGACGAGACTCATATGAAGTTTTAAAGTTTGTTTTCAGTATTTGAAAAATGTCTTACATTTCAATTCACTGTGTTTTTTAAAATAAAAATGAGGTTCTGAAAAACAGATGTTTAAAAACTACAAATAACAACTAATTCCATCTATAAAAGAAAAAACTAAGGAAAAGTGAGTACTACACTACGCAGGGAAGGAAACCTCATTTCTAATCATGGCCTCTAACAAACCATTCACTTAATTTCTCTGGCTCTTCTTTCCTTCCATATTGAGATGATGGGTTTAGATGTAATATCGTGAAATTCTCTTCTACCTCTAAAATGCAATGATTCAGTAAAATTCCTTCAACTTACTTCTGTTCTAAAAACATTAAGTGGTTTCCCAGGACAACAGTCTTCCCTGACTTTATCTTCTGCTTCAGAGGCAAACTTGACTTCTATGTGTTCTAGCTAAACAGAAGGGAAAAAATGGAAGTCATTAGTTTCACTTAATATGACTGAAATTAATTACCACCTCATTTCATCAACAGCAAACTAGGTCCTCCACTTAACATGAAATGGTCTATGCAACTGTATTATTTTCCATATAAACACTGAATGAAATCCATAATCATTTATTTAATACTCATCTTAGAAGTTTCACAGTATTGTTATTTATATAATCATGTTTATCATTCTCACTAGTGAAATCTGCGTATCTAAGGATATCAGCATAAAAGGCTTCTACTTAGACAACAAGAGTTCAGAAAAGTATCATCTGAAAACAAAAGGTTTCCACTTAAATAAATGGAAAAGCTCAGAAATGTAGCATATTGCATTATCCTTGAATGAAGAATGACCCTAAACATAGGATATATCCCTGCTAAGAAGAGTTTTTTAACCTACATGGATATTTATTAGCATTTAGACATATACATAAAAATTAGGCTGGAGTAGCTCAGGTGGTACAGCACCTATCTAGCAAGCATGAATCCCTGAGTTCAAATCCCAGTGCTGCCAAAAAAAATGGACATATACATAAAAATAGGTGTCTACTAATATTTAATTTTATTATTAACTAAATTAAAATAAAATACAGAGTCTGAGGGTATAACTCAGTGGTAGAGCACATGCTTAGCAAACATGAGGCCCTGGGCTTAATTCTCAGCATAAAAAACATAATAAAATGCTCACTTAGCAATAACTTTCTTCCCCATTTCATGAAATATGAAATAATTTTATGCAAACTCTAAACCTACATTTTAAATTTTATTTATTGTCTTCATTATCACTAGAACCATTGTTTGAGTCTTCTAACAGTTTTCCAGAGGAAATTATTTTTCCTTCATTTACAGAAATGAAGTTTTGACTGATAAATGAAGTTGTGACTGATATTTCATGAACTATAGATTATAATTAACCCAGTTCTGTGAATTTGAGGTTTGAAGGCGGAGGAATTCATAGTGCTCCAGGATATGAGAGATTTTGGAAGCATCTAAATATAAGATCTCCCATTGTTTTAAAGATAATTTCGGGAGAATACCTAGACATATATAATTAATTTTTTATGTATAGGATACTGATAAATGAAAGATGACAGATCTTTTTTTTTAATCTTTCTGCAATTTTTATAATACCCACACTTTCTCTTTTCCCTCAAAAACATTTTTGACTTTTATATTATTTGGCAAAAGTACACAGAAGATGAAGTTTATAAAAAGGTTTATAATTAAAAAAAAAAAAAAAAGAACCGTATTGTGGTTTGATATGGTTGACTCATAATTACAATTTCCTCTTACCTCAAGGGAATTAGTCAGGTAGACTATATTTTCCATAAGTACTGCCTGCTCATCAAACTCCAATTGCAAATCCAGAACACGAGGCCCCATCTTCTCCACATTTTCCTAATAGCCAAAATCATTTTGAAATACAAAATCACATTAAGATATGTTGAAGAGAATATATTTCCTCCAAAGCAATCATTCTTCTCTCAATGGATAACATCTTTACATTTCAACAATTAAAGGGAAGGCTTTGGACTCATGGGTTTCCCTTATCTATGTTTGCTTGTTAATGAAATCACTAGCTCAGAATAATTATAAGACTTAAGGCAGCACTGATGACTGGAAGGCACAAGATTTTCAGATTTAGAAAAATAAATATGGTTTTATCATTGTTTATTTAGATCAGTTTCATATGCAAACCCAAATGTATGAAAATATCCTTTTAAGGTAATCAAAAACACTTTTTAAAAATTTTCAGAGATACCAAATAAAAATTTCCCAAAGATACCCCAGCAAAGTCTAATGGAAAAAAAAAAAAAAGTCATAATATATGGATATTCAGATAATCTTGTGGCATATGAAAAACAATTTCTAATTCTTAATTTTCTTGAACATTAAATATTTGCTATTCAAAATGCAACTTTAGAGATTCTAATTCCTAAGTACAGATATAGCTATCTGGAACATGTTACAATTAGGTGAAAATGATCCAACATTACTCCTACTATCTACTACTTTAGTTTTCCATCTGCTATGGATTAACACCCTTACACAGAGACTACGCTAGTTATTACAGGAGTGCACTCCTGAAAGAAGACTGCATTCAGCCCATTTCTCCTTCTTGGTATTGCAGGTGCTTCCTCGCTTACCTTTCTGCCATGTTTGACACAGCCTAAAAGCCCTCACCAGATTCAGGTGCCATGCTCTTGACTTCCATGCCTCTAGAATCATAAGCCAAATAAACTTCCATTCTTTATATAATTATGCAGTCTTGGGCTGGGGATGCAGCTCAAGCTACGCATGCCCAACATGCGTAAGGCCCTGGGTTTAACTGCCAGCACCATAGAAAGGGGTAAAAAATTATACAGTCTGTGGTACTCTACAGCAGCCAAAAACAGACTAAGACACTATCTAAGTTCTGACTCTTCCCATAAAAATGTATTAAAAAGCTATTTTCTTATTTTTAGAATTATTAATCATTTTAAAGGTTTGCAAAACCACTAATTTTCCTGGCAAATCATTAATATTATTTTTAAAGTTTATTGCCACTCAGTCTGACACTGGCTCCTCAGATTTAAATGACCACCTAAAGAAGCCAACTCTTCCACAACAAAGAACTATCCAGCCCAAAATATCAATAGAGCCATTGTTGAAAACCCTTGGTCTAATCACTATAAGCAAAGTTTATCCTATTAAACAAAATTTACACAAATGTATACTCTTACAACATCCTAATGGAAGCCAAAAGAGTATGTTTCCAACCCAAACTGAAAAGAGAAGGTAGAACATGAAGGGAGTAATATAGTACTGCAATTCCAAACCAATTTTTCTTCCATGATACATATTTTCACATATTCAGCAATTCCACAGGTAAACTCAAAATCTGATAGTTCATTCCTCACAACCACTGATTGAAAAGTGCTACTTTAGCAAATTTCTGGGGAAGACTGTGCCCAAGACTTTTCTTTTTCCCTCCACTGTCCTATCTAACCATTACTCATGTGGTTACAGCTGTACAAGGCCCTTAGCTTGCTTACCTTAATCATAGCAACAAATGGCATAACTTTCTTCATGTATTTCTTCAATTCTGGCAAATTACCAAGTTCACTAGCAATGACTTTGTTATCAGGCAATTTTCCACTGTTGGCCTATAAATGGGGAGGAGGGGAAAAAATACAGAGAAAAATATTTTTAAAATATTACAGGATTGTAGGTGTGCCTGTAAGGAAGTGTGACAACCACAGAATGGTGGCCTCTACCAGTCTGTTAGAGAGCAGCGAAAAAGTGGGCAGCCTCTAGCATCACAGGGAAATGAAAACTGAATGAACAATGCAGAAGGGAGACTTCCATTTCCTCTAAATTCACAAGATACATGATTTTTTAGTGTAAGGAGAAAACTCAATGCATTGCATGGAATACTCAGTCTTTCTTACCTCGCATTAGATCTTACCTGGTAAAAAAACTGTTATAGTCATATAAAGACCTTGTCTTCAAAGTTCTAAAAGCATTTCCTTAGTCATATTAAAATAGAAAACAAAACAACTTTTATATAGGACTTGTTTTTGAATGCTCTTATTTATAGTCACTTCAAATGTGAAAAAAAATTTTCTGGTTACTGACATGTTAAAAATAGTATTGTGCTTCTATCTACTTAAAAGTAAACACCTCAAACCCCAGTATCACAAAAAGACAATAGTGAACACCTGTTATTTATCACTAGCAGGCATATAATAGGCATATAATCCCAAATGTGCTGACTCAATGTAAATTCATTTCTGCAAATATTAATAGCTGTAAAATGAGAATAAAGTAAGTGGCCTTTTCAGACTTTTGGGTGACTTAATTGTGAATGAATCTAAATGAAAAATAATATATAGTGAGATTTCAAATAATCTATTTACATTAAGTTTTAACCTTTACTGAAGTTTATGGGAAAAATATTTCCTCTACTTATTCAATGTTTTCCTCTGAAACACATATGAAAGAAAAAGAAAGGGTGGTAAATACTCCTTTTCCTTATATCATCAAAAAAGTGCCCTATTCAACATAAGAACACTCTTCTCAATTATAGACTAACATTCTTTTAGTCATTTTGGATGAAAACAAACAAAAATTTAAAGAAGAAGCTGATAATGCCAAAACATGTTGTTTTGGGAGTGGTTCGAGTGGAGCACCTGCCTTGAGGCCCTTAATTCAAACCCCAGTACTGCAATTGTCATTTTGAAACAATATAATATCTAGTCAAAGAATATAAAGTAAAAGTCTAACTTCTAAAAGAAATGAGGTGGTATACTTTTTAAAACACTTGCTCTTCTCATCAAATGTTATAAATGTAGAAGCACCTTTTATGAGTATTTCTTAATAGTTAATTAAGTTAGTAGTTAATAAAAAAAATATTGCACCAAAATTCCAATAAAGATCTGAATAGTCAAAGCTATGGATTTTTCTTTTGTGAGGAAAAAAAAATGTTCCCACTTTACATTCTGACTGCAATTTTTACTTTGTCTTGCTCTTTTTTTAGACTTTATGGTTTGTATCTACCAATAACTGTTCAAATAATCTAAGCAAAGTAAAAATTATATAACATACTCTCTTTCCACACTTTGAATGTAAAAGAAAAATGGATTTTTTTTCTTTAAGAAAAACTTAGAGCTAAGTTTAAATATTGAGTTTCATTTAAACAGAACTGTCATATTTTATTGCTATTTATCAGAGCCAAAAACATCTTTGAGCACTACCTTTCTATAGGTAATTATAAAATTAAGCAGCATGTTCTTTTAAAAGTACAGCTGAGTATGGTGCCATATAGCTGTAATCCAAGCACTCAGGAGGCTATGGTAGGAGTTTCACAACTTCAAGGCCAACCAAGACTACACAGCAAGACCATCAAGCAAACAAACAAAAAGTACTGAAGAATAAAGCTTCAATTTACTTCAATTATACTAAGGTTAAGGCTTCATCGTTCCACTGTTCAAGTCACAACAAATTCAACAGACAAACTCAGCCCTTTTGTTTCACAATTGTAATTATGTAAATGAAAAAACAAACCCACACCTGTTAATTACATACATTCAGAAATGATGAAAAAGGAGCAGCTTTTCCCTCAGCACACATTTATGCACTACCAAGGATAACAAAGGATGCTCCCTGCCTATAGGGAATTAAACAAAGCTGCCTGTCTCCTTTTCCGCAAGCATTGCTAACATCTTACAAACAAAAACATCATAAGCAGGACACCAAACTACTGAGGGAAAAAGTCTACTGGGAGCATCACCTCAAAGTGGCTTCGCAGAATGGACAGGGCAGTATGCTGCCAAGGTGGATAGTTCTTCGCCACATAGATGGTACAATGCGAGGGCCTCTGAGGTGGCTGCTTGTCAGTCTTCTGCATAGGAGGAAAAAGGTAAACCGCTGGTTTTTACAGAAACAAAATGAAAACATTCCCCTAACATATACTACCACTGTCTTTAACATTTTTGCACTATACATTTTAATCGGTCTTAATTTTCACTGATTACTGTTAAATGTCATATGACTGATAACTTTTAAGGAATGATCTTTAAAGTTTTTTTCTTTTTTTACTGTAAAAAGGTAGGCAGGTAATAGAGGAAAGAGTAACAGAGGGGGTGAATTTCATCAAAGTCTATTATATTTATGAATGGAAATATCAAAATGAAACTCCTCTGCACAATTAATATACACTAATAAAAAATATGGGAAAAAACAGTTTTTTAAAAGGGTGACTTCACCTTCCCTTTAGGTGGCATTGTATAGTTCTTGAGACGTAGTCTAAGGTCATGTGCTACTTCCATGAGATACTGTGAAGAACGTATCAAGGATTCATCCACAGGACCTGCCACAGGCCATGAGGCCTTCATAATTGAGTCAGGCTTTTAAAAAAACAAAAACAAAGATTCCATGAGATTAGACAACACAATTACTTTACAGTTCTTGCATATAGTTTCATACCAAAGTTACCATCTGTAACTGTGTTCAAACCTGACTACACATAACACACTTCTACAGCCCCTGATCTAATGTTCCCTAGAATTCAAGCTGTGAAGTCTGACTCTACATTCTTAATTACCATCCATTTATACAAGTGTATTAATATCCACACACATATGCTCACTTTCAAAGAAAATTATGTAATGATAATTTGCCTAAATTTAATAATTATTACATAAATTATGCACACTCTCAGTTTTTATCCTATTAGTTAATCCAGTATTGAAAGTATGGCTATTCAGTATAGCTTATGAGCTCATTTTGCATCATTCATGCACTGAAAAATACAAAAAAGCCTGGCTAATGTGGGTGGGGGGGAAGGGAGGGAACGGGGTGGGTGGTAAGGGAGGGGGTGGGGGCAGGGGGGAGAAATGACCCAAGCGTTGTATGCACATATGAATAATAATAAATAAATAAATAAAATGTAAAATCTTAAAAGAGTTTTGCACAATGCAAAAAAAAAAAGAATATGCAAATATATGATTCTATCTTTGTTTAGAAGCAGCTCATAACAGTTGTTTGTATCTTTCTCAATATTTTCAACTTGTTAACAGGTGAAAGAACAGTATTAGTATACATGCATTCAAATTATATATGAATTTACTCAAACGTATTACAACACTTTCTAACAGATGAGAATTAGGTAGGAGATACACAACATGCACGAGATCACATTTTTAAAACACATACATTATGTGTACACAAATAAAGACACATATATTATTTATCTGTCTTATTTAGCTATTTTAAGCTGGTATAATTATGAAGATAAATCCAGTATTATTCCTAAAATACTCATTTTCTGTTTTTTTTCTCTTAAGTAACAACAGTATCACAACACTTACTTAATAAGGTCAAATTCAAAACGACTGGCAACATTTTAAACCCATTCCCTTCCAATCCATACCTTTCCCAGGAGCATCCAGATGTGCTCACACAAATGTGGACAGAATGGAGCCAAGAGAAGAGTCTGAACTTCAATAAACCGGAACACAAGTTCTCTATGCATCCCTTCTATGGCCAATTCACGGTATTTATCTTTTGCAGCCTATAAAATTTCAAATTATTTACCATTTCCCTCATCTTACTTTTTTAAAATAAAGGAAAAAAATCAGCAACTTGGCTTTAATGCATTTTTAAGTTTTAGTCTATTAAAATTTCCATAATAAATTATTATAAAGGTTTACTCTATTTTTAGGAATTTCCAAGTAAATGTAAACCAATCTTTTACCCAAAGGATAATGCAGTTTTACATTAATGATTATTTAAAAAAATGTTTTAAAAGGCATTTTATAACAGATATAAAAACTGAGCAATTTTAACTATTTTCTAAGAGTAAATGTTTTGAGCAGTATACAAGAAAGATACTGAATATCAAAAAAGGCTATAAATACAACACACTGCTATGCTCAGCACTTATCCTTATTTAACTACATGTCTGAAAACCAAGTTACATAAATCCCAATGTGATATTTTACAAAACTGACTTAAGGTGATTTTATTTTTTTTTTCTAATTTTAAGCATTTGAAATGCCAAACTTGGAAAAATACTGACACCTTGTGGGAGACTTCAGAAAACATGTGCTCTTCATTAATGACAATTAAATTTTGCTTTCATTTTTTTTTTTTATCACTTAAAAATGTTTTTGTCTTGGGCTGGGGGTATGGCTCAAGTTGTAGAGTGTTGCCTAGCAAGTGCCAGTCCCTGAGTTCAAATCCCAGTACCAAGCTGGGTACTGGTGGCTCAAGCCTGTAATCTTAGCTACGTGGAAGACTGAGAATAGGAGGATCATGGTTCCAGGCCAACCCAGGCAAAAAAGTTCACGAGACCCCATCTTAACCAATAGCTGAGCACAAGAAGCTGTGGGTGTGATCCCAACCTATGTAGGAGGCTGAGGTCAAAGGACTGAGGCTTCAGGACAGCCCAGGCAAAAAAAGTTTGCAAGACCACGTCTCAACAGAAAAAAGCTAGTCATGGTAGCACATACCTGTCACTCCAGTGACTGTAAGAAACATAAAATAGGAGAACTGCAGTACAGACTGGACAGGGCAAAAAACAAGACTCTATCTCAAAAATAACCAGAGCAAAAAAAGCTGGACTTAGGTAGTAAGAGCACCTGCCTAACAAGCATGAAGCCCTGTGTTCAAACCCCTTTACCACACATAAAAACAAACAAAAAAAAAATACTGTCAAAAAATGTTTGTGGAAAGTATGGCTGATTTTTAGATTTAATGTTCTTATTCATGCTCATGTGCATCAAACAAGAAAAAATATTTTTATATTAAATGGACACAGTAGAAAAAAATATCAAGGAAACTACTTAAAATCATAACTTACTAAAGATTTAAAAACTTATGAAAGACTTTTAGTCTATCCTCAAGATGTGCAATTCTATTATAGCAAAAAGAAAAAAGGGGGAAAAATATATCACTTTCACACTGACATTTAAATACCAAAAGAATAGCATACCTGAAACTCAAAAAATCCTGTTTTCAAAGCTTCTTTAAACATCATCTTTTCATAATTTTGATCTGTTTTTATAATTCCTGCATTCATTTCACTATTGAATAGGGGAAAAAAGTTAGTGAGTTGAAAAGCAATTGTATATACACATATGCACATATATAGTTACTACATACAATAGTAAGCATTTATTGTCTTTAGTATCATCATTTTTTACTGTTAGAGCTCATGCTTATGATAACACAGTTAATAATGCTTGTTTAAAAGTTCTTTGATGCGAACTTCATTATGAAGCCCCAAACACATACGAAAATAGTTTAATAAGGTTTACAGCCAGGCTTTAATTACTGCTTTTCAAATAAGTGATATTGGGTATTAGAAAAAAATGTCTCCATATAAACAGTCAGCAAGTACATATGTGACAAGTGCTCAGCAATACTAATCAATCATCAGAGAACTGTAAACCTAATCCACAATGAGACACTACCTCATCCCCATACAAAAGGCTGGTATCAAAAAGACTAAAGATAACAAGCGCCAGCAAGAATATGGACAAAAAGAAACTCTTGAACACTGGTGGGAATATAAATTAGCATAGCCATTGTAGAAAACTATGGAATTTCCTCAAAAAAATTTTAAAAAAAGCTACTATATGATCTAGCAATTTCACTAGTAAGTATATAGCCAAGCAAAATGAAATCAGTGTGTTAGAGACGTCTGAATCACATGTTCATTGCAGCACCATTCACAATAGCTAACAAATGCAAACAACCTAAGATGTTCACCAACTGATGACTGCATAAAGAAAATGTGGTACTCATAAACACCAGAATACTACTCAGCCACAAAAAAAAAGAATGTAATCCAGTTATCTGTAATCCCAGCAGTTGGGTGGCAGAGACAGGCTCATACATGCTTTCTCCTCTCCTTGCAAAACTACTGTTTATTTTTCAAGAAACCCAGAATTCACACATCTTCTCTGAATTCTGTTTATCTCTTCAGTGCGTTTACAATTAGTAGAGTGTTTGTCTCTCCTGCTAGTCAATAAGGAAGAATCAGGTCACATTCATGACATGTGTAACACCAGTGCCTAGGATAGTTTCTGATGCAGAGATTAATAAATGTCTTGAATTAAAATTTTTTAAAAAGACAATTCTCCTTTTCATTTAATCTACTTTTTCTTCAGTCATTTTTCCACATCCTAATGCAAATCAACAGGGAAAATGGTTATAAGAACAGGTTTTGGAAGCAGAAACAAGTTCGCATCCCAAGTTTTCAATTATTAGCTTCAAGGTATTTTCATGAAACAATTTTTCTTAAACCTCAATATCTTTATCTTGTGAGGTTGCTGTAAGACTAAAGCCAGATAATGGGTGCAAAATATATAACACAGTGCCTGGCACAAGTAAGCCTTCAATGAATAGTAGCTATTATTGTCATCTAATTTATTTTAGAAAAAAAAAAAAAGAAGAAAAAGAAAACTTTAAAAATGCACCAGGACTAAGCAACTATAAAAGTACAACATGGTTGGACCTCAGAGATTACCTGGCAAAAACTCTATCATTGAAAGTGCTGGCAGGACCACTTCTTAGACTGTCCCAGTTGGCAACCATTTCCTTCACCCATTCCACCCAGGTGTATAGACGGAGAATACCTGCGTCTGCCATTGCTTCCACGAAGTTGGCATCTTCAATAGTGTCACCAGCATCAGCCAGAGCCAAACGCATTCCTGAAAGGAAAAAAAAAAAAAAAATCAATGAATTAAAAATACAGTTACTGAATATCAACTCTATCCAGCTGGGTACACATAGAAATTAAGAAATAACAGATTTTTTTTGAGGGGGGTGGGTAGGAGGGGGCAGTACTGGGGTTTGAACTCAGGCACTCTACCACTTGAATCATGCCCCCAGCCCATAATAAATGTTTTAAAGAACTGTCCTGGATCAGCAGCAAAAATCAAAATCATTAAAAGGATCCCCAACTATGTGGTTGAAATATCTGAACCATCTGTATCAATTTGCATACACTTAGCATCAATATGTGTTTCTTCTCAAGCATGCTGAGTTAATGAGATAAAGTGATCTCTAATGAGGCAAAGGAAATAAATGATAAACTAGGGATAGATATACATTTCTTGTGGTTTCCCTATCAACATCGCAACCTCATTAAGAAGTAGCAAAATATTATGATATTTTACTGCTTGAGAACACACACTGGTGTCCTCTGTATACAAATGCATATTTAACTTCAGTCCTAAAATTAGGTCTTCCAAGTTTTCCATTAATAAAACTTTACTTTTTTGACTCTCATCTCTTAAAACTACCAATATGTGCCACTTGAAAATATTGTAAAAAGCTGGGCAGACTAGCTCATGCCTATATCCCAGCTACTTGGTAGTCAGATATAGGACGACTATGGTTCAAAGCCAACCTGAGGAAAAAAGTGAGATCTATCACAAAGAACAAACTGGGCAAGGTGTTATATTTCTATAATCCTAGCTACACAAAAGGTGTAGTAGGTAGGAGGACTGAGGTCCAGGGCTGGCCTGAGCAAAAAAGCATGAGATCCTATCTGAAAGCTAACAGATGGGGATGTAGCACAAGTGGTATAGTGCTTGCCTAGCAAGCACAAGGCCCTGAGTTCAAACCCCAATACCGCCTCTCCCTGCACCCAAAAAAAGAAAATACTGGAGAAAACTAAAGATCCATCAATCAATAAGCTTCATTACATAAACTACAGGAAATTACTACAATGGAATGCTACAGTACTGAAGAAAAAAAAAATCTGTGTACTAATACTGAATAATCTTAAATATGAACTGATAAGTTTTTAAAAAGGCAAAGTATGAAACAGTATACATAGCATGCTACCCTTTGTGTCTTACAGGAGGACACATTTAGGTTATGTACACATTAAATATCTTTTAGAATACACAAGAAGCTGAAAATACTTCTTAGCTTGTTATTTTGAAATAACTTTACAAATACAGTACAGAATAAATGTATACCATTCACCTTGCTTCCCAAATGTTAACAACTTACATAACCATCACTTTTAACATTAGTATAATACTACTGACCAAATCATAGGTCTTATTCAAATTTTCCAGCATTCCTTTAATATCCTTTTTCTGTTCCAAGATCCAAACCAAAGTATCATCCTGCATTTAATTGCTGTGTCTCCTTGGTCTCATCATCTTGAGACAGGTTCTCAGTCTGTGCTTGTCTTTCAGGACCTGTGGCACTTCTCATGAATACAGCTATTTAACAAACTGCTCCCAGTTTTACTTTTGTGTGATGTTCCTCATGACCAGACTAAGTTTATGACGCTTTGGCAAGAATGCCACAAGACACATGCTGTGTCCTGAGCGTGTCATATCAGGATACATGGCATCGAGGTGGTATCAACCAAGTTACTTCACTACAAAACTATCAACTTTCTCTTTGTTTGTGATTAATAAATATCTTGGGAAAGATACTCTAAGAGTATGCAAATACCCTATTTCTTCTGAATCTTTAGCCCACTGATTTTAACAACCATTGCTGGATCTTGCATGCAACAGTCAATACTCTGGTGTTTGCCTAACGATGATTTTATATTTCACTCAATATTCCTACTTTTATTAACTGAATTTCAAAGGAAAAGATGCCACTATCCTCCATTGATTTATTCAATAATTAATATATACCAATAATGACCCATAGGTATTTACTCTATTCACTGGATTATAATCCAATACTATCATTTTTTACTTTGTTGCCTAAATTGCTCTAGCTCGGGCCATTAGGAGCTCCTTCAAATTGGCTCTTGTGTTTGTTCAATATATCCCCCATCTGGAGCTGGGGTTATAATTCAGTGGTAGAGTGCTTACTCAGCAAGGTTTCACCCATACACTGCAAAAAAACAAAACAAAAGAAAACAAAGAAATAAGCTATTAAGACCCTCTCTCAAAACACCAAACAAAAAAGCAAAAATGCAAAACTAAGAAAGAAATTTTTTCAAAGAACAAAAATGGCCTCCTCCTTTTCTAAGCAACTTCCCTATTTTCTGGCACCAATAAGATGTTCCACTTTCTCCTTTCATTTTCCGTACCCCAAGACTCAAATCAATCACTTTTTCTAGGAGCCCTCTCTGCTTTTATAGAATAGTATTTAGAAAACAAAATCTAACAATGAAACACTTGGTATTTCATTGCTACTGGGGAGGCACTGCTGCTCGGCCCTCTCAGCAGACAGAACCGTAGAGGAACTGTATGTACACTAACCCTCCCACATACATATTTGTATTTATTTTTATATCTATATACATGTTCAGAAAGGAAAAATCATGAGCTCAGCCAGATGTGGTGGCTCACACCTGTAATCTTAGCCCTCAGAAGGCAAAATCAGGAGGATCACAAATTCTAGACAAGCCTGGGCTACACAAGCGTAAATAAATATTTTTAAAATAATGACTTCATAATAATTTCAATTCAATACCAGTTTATTCCAGCCTTCCTCCTTACTTTGTAGTTTCTTTTTCTAACAGTAAGCGAAGACAAAGATTATTATCTACAATATATTTATTTACTTTTTCAGTCCTAATATATACATAAAATAATTTCATAACTGCTTATACCTCTTGTCAGAAACATCTGTTACTATCTACAGTATTTTTGTACAGTTCTTTTTGTTTTCAGCTTTGATATCTAATCAAAATACTGTTTTCAAAGTTAGTTTTTCCCTATTCCCTTCAATACGGTCAAGCTTTCATTTGCAGTATTTCCATTTATTACTGTTTATATTCCACTTAGAGTCTTCCACACCTCCTGGTTGTTTTTATGTATATATTTAATGTTTTGGTACAAGAAACATTATTATGGCTCTAGGAGTCAAAGCTTTTATAAAAGCTATATACAGGGAAGTGTTGCTCCCTCCTATCGTCACTAGCCAATTCCCATTCTTCCCAAGCGTTTCCCACCCAACCCACAGGTAACTAATCTCCCCCATTTCTAGCTTCTCATTCTAGTACTTTTTAAAAAATTAGTAGACAAATAAATTCTTGTATCTCCTACTTTGTTACATGAGGGTGCGCACATTAGATAGTCTTTTGCAGGTGTGCTCTTGCTATTGTCTTAAAGTATATCTTGGAGATTGCTGTAAATGAGTTTATAGAGATCTTTTTCATTGTTTCTTATAACTGCGTAGTACCCCATAATGTGGTATACAACATAGTTTACTCACTCTCTCTCCTACACAAAGGCATTTATTTAGGATGATTCCAGTATTTTGCAGCAACTAATATATTTCTACTTCTGTAGGAGTAAATCCCTAGAAGTAGAACTGTTGGGCCACATAAGTTTTATTAGGAATTGCCATGTCTGCCTCCAGGATAGTTGCACCAATTAACATTTCCAATTAGCAGTGTAGGAGAGAATATGTGAAGAAATAAATGACTTTGTTAACTGAGAAAAATTGGTAGCTAGAGCAAAGGACAGGGAGTATTTTTAATATGAATGCTTTTCTTGTCTTCTAAATTCTGAACTGTATTAATGTATTACTTATGTAAAAATCAAATAATAACTATAAATAATGTATTCTAAGAAAGAAATAGTTTAGTTCCAATAAAGGAAAATAATAATTCAAAACTGGGCTAACCATGATCACTAAAAAGAAGTATCATAATGGCCAATAACTAGCTAAATAAGAAATGAATGTTTGTCAGGATAGACAGTGTGTTTCTTCTCTTTACAAATTACTTAAAAAATGTAATAATACTGAAATCAGGCAAAAAAATTTTTCCTGGGATTCCAAGATGGCGGCTAGAGGGAGGAAGCAGAAAGCGAGCCTCCTATAGTGAAATCTTGGAGAGAAACACTGAAAACACACTTTGCAGGCATAATCACTGAGAAGAGGCATAACTTTGACTCCTCCATACCTCCAGCCGGCGCAAAGAATCTCCACTTCTTGTCTGTGTATTTGTTTTTCCTTTTTCTTTAACTTCTTGCTTTCCATCTCCACTCACCCTTCCATTCTAAATATTACCATTGTTATTATTACAAGCTAGAAAATACTTAATTGCACACAGTACAGGGACAGTAACAACACCAAAGACAATGATGGGAAGACAGAAAAAACAGGAAACCAGTTTCCCCACAGCAAAAAATTAGGAACCAGAGGGGAATGAAGAAAACAGATACTCAGATCCAGACTCCAACAAAATGAAGATAAACTATGCCAAAGGACCCAATGAAGCCCACAAGAATAATTTAAAAGAAGACATACTACAAGTACTCAATGAGAATTTTATAGAGATGATACTGGATAGGGTCAACCAAAATGTACAGGAGACACTTAAGAAATTCCAAGACAACAAAAATAGAGAATTTGAAAAAGCAAAAGAAGAAATAAAGGAAACCATAGAAGCACTGTATAAACACCAAAGTGAAACAGAGAACATGATGAATAAACAGATAAATGAACTCAGGACAAAAATAGACAACATTAAAGAGGAAAACAGCCAGGATATGGAAAACCTCAGAAAAAAGAACGAAACAGAACTGCAAAACAAAACGGAAGGCCAATCCAGCAGAATAGAACAAACAGAAGACAGAATCTCAGAACTTGAAGATGAAATGGTAATTAAAGGAAAAACCAAAGAACTATTAATTAAACAACTCAAGACCTGTGAAAAGAAAATGCAAGAACTCACTGACTCCATCAAAAGACCAAACTTGAGAATCATGGGCAT